CATATTCAATTTTATCAATATTGAATATTTTATTAGACCATTTAGAGTTATACTCCTTTCTGTCGGTGTAATTGCCCCTTTTCTTTTGGAACACTTTTACCTTGTCGTTCTCCTCTATTTTGGGATACTTTCTTTTGTTTTTTTCTCGTAGTTTAAGATTGACCTTTACATTTATTTCATTGTCGTCCTTGTGTGCATCGGTCGGTGTCATCCTTGTTGATGAGTGAGATGTGCTGTTATACTGTTTCAATGCCGGCGTTAGGGCGTCGGTCCATTTCATGTTGTTAAACCTAACTCTATCGTGAATTTTGTTTTTCATCGTTCTAACAAAACGCTCGGCCACATTTGCGTGGGTCTTCGTAACGATGTGGTTTATTCCTTCACTGTTGAAGAAATCCTGTACGTGATTTTTAGTTGCAAACGCTCCGTCGTCATCAGAATACACGGACATCGGATAACCCATCTTTTTAAAGCTTGCTCTCAACGCCTTCAAAACGTGCTCTCCGTCCCTTTCCTCCATCGGTATTACATCTGCTAATTTACTGAAGATGTCAATCACGACTAAAGCATACTGTGGAACGTTCTTGTCTTTTGCTAAAGGTGACATATATTTGATATTCATATCGTGCGAATGGAGCGGTATAGGAATTAGTACCTCTATAACTTTTGATTTGTTTATTTGGTTGTTTCTTTAAGAAAGACTTTACATCGTCTATTGTTATTGTTGGGTCTTCTTCCTTTGCCTTCTTGTGTGTCGCTTGTGTGCTTCCGAAACCCTCGTCTAAGTCGTAATAGATGTTGCTGATTATTTGGTCTTTTGTTAAACTCGCCATTATATTAAATTGTTAGAAAATATTTTTTCAATAAAAACCCCGCCCCTTAACATAAAATAAAAAACTACTTAAAGAAATATTAACTTATTATATTAAGTGAAAATATGACTGAAAATGTCGGAGTGATTGCTGACTTATCAAACTGGGTGCTATCAGACGAAGAAGATGATGATAATGACAGTTATAAAAAGGAATTAGATGACGAGTTAATCAAAATAAAGGATTTCGTCAAAAGACACCCTTTGCCATCAGTTGATGAAAACGAAGAATTCTGGAAAGATGTTATTAACAGGTTTAGGGATAATAGCGGATTAAACTTGATGACAATATACTCATTTGTTAGGTTTGACATCATGAAAGAAATGTATGAAAACCTAACAGATGAAGTCATCATAAAAGACTGTGGTAAAAAGTTAAACCGAGATGGACAGTTTAATGCTATGATTATTAATCACTATATCTTATCGGGAGCGATACGGAAACTAAACACAGAAGACAGTCTAGTAGATGGTCAGATGCGAATTATTGAATTCTGGTGGGATGGAATAGGTGGATGGAAAGCATGAGTGATTTAGTTTATTCATATTACTTAATTATAATATGATTAAACAATGTAAACTTTTATAACCTTTCATTATACTATAATTTTAACTTATAACAAACTTTCAATAACAAAAACGATGACAAAACAAACAAACCACCAACGCCCCAGAACTTGATAACTACTAAAAGGGCTAACTCTTTCAAATGAAAAAAATGTTTGCCCCTAGCCCAACAATGAACAAGGGGGGCAATTACCCAAATGATTACCTTAACGAAAACCATAAATAAGCTCCCTAAAAACCCTCTTTTCAAAACGAATAAGGGGGAACACAGATTTGAGATTAACATAAAAACCAGAACAGGCAACCATCAACAGGCCACCCCCCAGGCCCCCTACTTTTACCATTTTTTCCCCTAACCCCTCCCCAGGGGGGGTCCACGTACCACGCGGTGATTCGAAGACGCTTCACTAAATCTGTTCATTGTGCGGGCTTGCGCAACTCAGTTTGTCAAAAACATTGGGGTGTTCGATTCCCCCCGGGTGCGCTGTCGCATCCTTAGCAGCTCCAGCGGCACATCGCCAGCATCACCTGCATCATCCGCATCAGCGCCTGCCAAGGATGCGGATGATGCAAGTGATGCTGGGGATGTTGCCTATGCTGGTGAACCCCCCCCAGTTCCTTGTTGAGATCATTTATTTCCCCCCTTTTCCTTCTAAGGCCTTTTCCCACCCTCAGTTCTTCTCCCTTTTCCTCCCAAAGATCTTTCCCCCCCTTTCCTCCCTAAGTCCTTTTCCCTGAGTTCGTCTCCCTTTGCCTCCCTAAGATCTTTCCCGCTTAAGATCCTTTCCCCCGTTTCCCCCCTAAGGCCTTTTCCCCCCAAGATCTCCACCCTTCTCTTCCCAAAGTCTTTTTCCCCCTTCATTGCCTCTTAGGGCCTGTTCCCCCCGAGAAAGATTTCCCTTTTCCCCCTTTCCCTGTTGAGATCCTTTCCCCCTTTCCCCCCTAAGGCCTTTTCCCTGCCTGGGATCTTCTCCCTTTCCTCACTGAGATCTTTCCCCCCCTTTCCCTGTTGAGATCATTTCCCTCCTTTCCTTCCTAAGGCCTTTCCCCCCGCTGAGATCTTCTCCCTATTCCTCCTTAACATCCTTTGCCTCCTTTCCCCGTTGAGATCCTTTCCCTTCTTCCCTTTAAGGCCTTTCCAGATCTTTTCCCTTTTCCTTCCTAAGATTGTTTCTCCCCTTTCCCTGTTGAGATCCTTCCCTCCCTTTTCTTCCTTAGATCTTTCCCCCCTTTCCCTGTTAGCCTTTTTTCCCCCAGATCTTCTCTATTTCCTCCCTAAGATCTTTTCCACCCCTTCCCTGTTGAGATCAGTTCTCCCCTTTCCCCTCTAAGGCCTTTGTCCCCAGATCTTCTCCCTTTCCTCCCTAAGATCTTTCCCCCCCCCCTTTTCCTGCTGAGATCCTTTCCCCCCTTTCCCCCCTAAGGCCTTTCCCCCCCCTGAGAGCTTCTCCCTTTTCCTTCCCAAGATCTTTTCCCCCCTTTCCCTGCTAGGCTTTCCCCCCTAAGTCCTTTTCTCCCAGATCTTCTCCCTTTCCTCCCTAAGATCTTCCCCCCCTTTTCCTTCCTAAGATTGTTTCCCCCCTTTCCCTGTTGAGATCCTTCCCACCCTTTCCCCCTGAGGCCTTTCCCCCCCTGAGAGCTTCTCCTTCCTTAGATCTTTCCCCCCTGTCCCTGTTGGCCTTTTTTCCCCCAGATCTTCTCCCTTTCCTCCCTAAGATCTTTTCCACCCCTTTCCCTGTTGAGATCATTTCTCCCCTTTCCCCCCTAAGGCCTTTGCCCCCAGATCTTCTCCCTTTCCTCCCTAAGATCTTTCCCCCCCTTTCCCTGCTCAGATCCTTTCCCCCCTTTCCCCCCTAAGGCCTTTCCCCCCCTGAGATCTTCTCCCTTTTCCTCCCTAAGATCTTTTGCCATTTTTCCCTGTTGAGATCCATTCCCCCTTTCCCCCCTAAGGCCCTTTCTCCCTCTGAGTTTTTCCCTTTTCCTCCCTACGATGTTTTCCCCCCTCTCCCTGTTGAGATCCTTTCCCTCCTTTCCCCCCTAAGGCCTTTTTTCCCCCTGCGATCTTCCCCCTTTTCCTTCCTAAGATCTTTTCCCCCCTTTCCTTGTTGAGATCCTTTCCCGCCCTTTCCCCCCTAAGGCGTTTTCCCCCCCAAGATCTTCTCCCTTTTCCTCCCTAAGATCCTTTGCCCCCTTTCCCTGTTGAGATCCTTTTCCCCCTTTCCCCCCTAAGGCATTTCCCCCCCTGAGATCTTCTCCCTTGTCCTCCCCAAGATCTTTTCCCTTGGTTGAGATCCTTTCCCCCTTTCCCCCCGAGATCTTCTCCCTTTTCCTCCCTAGGATCTTCTCCCACCTTTCCCTGTTGAGCTCCTTTCCCCCTTTTCCCCCTAAGGCCTTTTCAGATCTTCTCCCTTTTCCTCCCTAAGATCCTTTGCCCCCTGTCCCTGTTGAGATCCTTTCCCCCTTTCCCCCCTAAGGCCTTTTCCCTGCCTGGGACCTTCTCCCTTTTTCACTGAGATCTTTCCCCCCTTTCCCTGTTGAGATCCTTTCCCCTCTTTCCCCCCTACGGCCTTTCCCCCCGCTGAGATCTTCTTCCTATTCCTCCTTAAGATCCTTTGCCCCCTTTCCCTGTTGAGATCCTTTCCCCCCTTCCCTTTAAGGCCTTTCCAGATCTTCTCCCTTTCCTTCCTAAGATTGTTTCCCCCCTTTCCCTGTTGAGATCCTTCCCACCCTTTCCCCCCTCAGGCCTTTCCCCCCCCTGAGAGCTTCTCCCTTTTCCTTCCTTAGGTCTTTCCCCCCTTTCCCTGTTGGCCTTTTTTCTCCCAGATCTTCTCCCTTTCCGCCCTAAGATCTTTTCCACCCCTTTCCCTGTTGAGATCATTTCTCCCCTTTCCCCCCTAAGGCCTTTGTCCCCAGATCTTCTCCCTTTCCTCCCTAAGATCTTCCCCCCCCCCCCGCTGAGATCCTTTTCCCCCTTTCCCCCCTAAGGCCTTTCCCCCCCCTGAGAGCTTCTCCCTTTCCTTCCTAAATCTTTTCCCCCCTTTCCCTGTTGGGCTTTCCCCCCTAAGTCCTTTTCTCCCAGATCTTCTCCCTGAAAGGGAGACGATCTGGGAGATCTTAGGGAGGCAAAGGGAGAAGATCTCAGGGGGGAAAAGGCCTTAGGGGGAAAGGGGGGAAAGGATCTCAACAGGGAGAGGGGTGAAAACATCTTAGGGAGGAAAAGGGAAAAAAACAGAGGGAGAAAAGGCCTTCGGGCGGAAAGGGGGAATGGATCTCAACAAAGAAAGGGGGGCAAAAATCTCAGAGGGGAAGGGGGCAAGGGGACAATTCCAAAGGGACGCAAATAAGAAAGCAGGCCTGTAATGTCGGCGGCCTGAGCCGGAGGCACTAAAATTGAAAAAATGTGCAAGTCCCCCGGATGTTGTGGGGAAGTTTAGTGTGTGTCCCCCATTTCCCCACCATAAGGACCATAGGCTGTCAATCATTTTGACCGAACCTGCTCCACAGCGTTGATCCAGGCCCAAAATCCAGGGCTCCGAGGTGAAACTTTTCCCTGAGCTTCCAGCCTTGGACGCGATTGCCGCAGCCGCCACTGTGGTGCTTGTCGTAGCGGTCGTTGCCGCTGTCGTGGCAGGCCCTGTGATCCACGTGCTGACCGTGGCCGCCGTGGTGGCTACCGTCGTCGCCGCCGTGGTGGCTGTGGTGGCCGCAGCGGTGGTCGCCGCGGTGGTGGCCGGCACTGTGGTCGCCGGCGCGGTGGTCGCTGGCGCAGTTGGTGCGGCACTGGTCACGGCGGCCTGGCGTTGGCCCCAGGCGAGCCCAAGTCCCCATGCCCGGAAGCACTTGACGTCGCTTGACTCATCGATCCCCAGTGCATGACCCCCAACGAAAATGTGTTGGGAAAACCTTAAGACTGCCAGGCTTTGATAGGCTGATCTTTCGTTGGTTGAGTCCTTTTGCAGACTACCTGATTGGGCAAAATGTATGGCCTGCCGAACACCCAAACACAAGACCCGGCCGCCCAGGAAAGATTCTAGAAATAACCCAAGTGAATCACGCCCTGTCGGACTATGGACAACACGTGCGGCCAATTGAGGTCTTTCGCCATGAGCGCTTTCCCCAAAACGCGCCTGGGCCACGTGGGCCGGACGCTCCTTGTGCTCAGGACCTCAGAAGGCTGCAAGCCGCAGAAAGGGTCCAACTCGACTCGATTTCCCAGAAAAAGTAGAGGTGGAAGAAGACAAACTTCCTCTATAGTCCTAAACAAAGGCTTAAAACAACAACTGCTGGGTCAACTTTGATCGGCTTGCCCATGCTTCCTGTGCAGCTCAACTGTGGTTTTAACTTGACGACGGCGACTCGCAGGCGACGCGCGCTTTTGTATGTGCGCAGAGCCTGTGTTCGAACACACAATCGAATCCTATAATATATATGTATATTTAATTATATATATGTACTCGGACAGGACTCGGCTGCGTACTGCCTACGCACCTTTGAAGGCAGAAATGGTGAAAATCTATCCTCAACTCGTGCACATGTGGAAAAAAAGGGCCCTTTCCGAAGCAGCTGCAACCTCCCGTCTCTTTTTTGGGGGCCGGTCCCCCAAAGGAGACTAGGATTGACTTACAGTAAAACGGCGTTCTGCCTATCAAATTAACGGAAAAAGCCCAACAAAGGGGGCCATTCTGCATTTTGCTCTTTTTCGAGGCGTGTGTGGGACAGTGAGCTTCTTCCCATTCCAACTCTGTGACTCTTTTTGGGGGTGATTGGTAGGTGGGCCCGTGACAACTCAGGCTCAACTTTGGAGGCAACGGGCCAAAGAGGGAAATTCCCAATTGGGAAGAAACAGAAGCCTTGAGCATGAGGCTCCAATATCAACCCAAGGGCTCTCATCTGTGAACACACCCGGCGACGCTTACACCTCAAGCACTGGGGTGCCCGGCACTTGGCAGCGGCAATGCCAACCTGCTTCGCGTCCAAGTCGAAGATGATGTCCTGGCGCCAAGTTTTCGGCTGCCAGTAGGGAGCCGATCCCCTCTCAGCTACCACCCCTTGCACTCACTAAAATAAGATCCTGATAAGGCATTCAAGGCCTTATTTGGAGGAAAGCAGGAATTAGGGGAGGAAAAGGGAGGTTGGATCCTATGCCGAACGCGACCCCTCGCTGACATGCTGCGCTGTCTTGCAAGACGACCCTCATGCGTGCAGGAACTTGTCCACATCCCTCTTTACCACTACCAAGTGCAGCGTGATTTGGATCAAATCTACAACTGGGAAGGTAAAAGAGATGTGACGTAGCTTGTGGACTGCAGGATCATGCTATTTCCCACCAATTCTCAAATGTTTCTTCGAGCCATGTTTGGCACTGTGCAGTCTGACCTGCTCAGATAGCTAGCCTGAAACAGTTCAGACTTGTTGGGCATGTACACAAATAAAGAAGCTCATCAACAAAGTTTGCAAACTCAACGCGCAAGTGGTAAATTGTGTGAGACACAATCGAAATCTGGTATTAAAGCTATTAAAGCGGTCTTTCCAATTCAGGTAAACAATCCAAGGGCGTCTGCACCGTTTGAAGGCTAGGACGGTCCCCTACTAACCTTTCCTTACACAGGTTTTGATTGTGGCTCGTGTACCATCCCTTGCAGCCGGCCTTGTGCATCATCCACACCGCGCCCAGCACGGTGTTGGCATGAGGCCCGTCATCTTCGAATCCATAGCAGTAGCTATTGGTAGAATGCTTCCTGGCAACGGATCGATCGGTCAAAGTCCTACAACTCCGATTTGCGAAGATTTCCCCAGAGGGACATGGGACAACTAGGGTTCGCGCCACGGTTTTTGTGGCAACAATGAGTGAGTTCCCCATGGAAACTTTACACCCAGGGCAATTCAAGGACCTTCCAACAAATCGACCGATCGTTTGGCCTCACCGTGGCAGGAACAGGATCTGGAAAAAGGTTGTTTCGCAGCCCCACCCAAACCGCTTCCCTTCAAACAGCGGGGCTTTCGGCAAAGGGTGCCAACCACCATGCCATATTTTTTGACCAGCCCCGTCCGTGAAAACAATTGGCAGTAATTAATTGTCAAACGCATCCACGGTTTTGATGTAAGAACACTGTGACACAAATGCTATGGCTAAAGTGACTATTGGTGTACTTGAACTTGTGTTTCATGGACAAGCGCGGTACCAAGCACACCTTGGACTATGCGCAAATGGCAAAAGGGGACGGGTCCTCTTTGCTGACTTAAACACCTGCAAAAAGTCGTTTCTCCAAATATCCCATGATGGCTTCCTTTCGGCCCAGGTATGCCAATACCTAGCGAGCCGAGCATCGAGCGGCCGCGGTATTGCAATGCCCCTCCGCCCAATTGCATCCTTAAGGGGGCGCGCAACACCTCTCTAATTTGCTGCCAGGCCTGTAGAAGTATGCTTGAGGCACCCAGGCTGTCTCTACAGACCCGAAGACCACCATGATGGTCGGGAACCTTGCTGCGTTTGACCAGAGTTTTGCCATTGACCCCAAGAGAGAAGGATCCCTTGCCCGAACCTTCGTATCAATCGCGGTTTGGTCATTGCTTTAACTGGGTTAAAACATGGTTGCAGAGGGGCCGGGCATTGATTGATACGGCAACCTGATTCAAGGTCCAGCGGCGCAATCAGTACTAAGGTTTTTCTGTGAGCATGCCAATCAACGTCATGCAAACACGCACCGCTCTTGAACCAAGTGTGCCCACACCAGTTCAGCTGACAAAGACAAAGCTCCTTGCAATGCGCATCGCTTCCTGCCCTTGTGATGAGCAGCGGGGCGTGCTTGAATGGGAAGTGTGAACAAATGGCTGATACACTCATATCGAGCCGATAGCAAGGGGAGCCATTGCGCCTAACAATGTCTCTCAGCTTCCCTACTAGCTCGGTGGTAGATTGGTTGGGGGTTGTAGTCTGTTGAAAAGATGCAAGAAGAGATCCATGTTGTTTTTGTTAGCGTCCGGAATATATAACGGCCCCACTAGTTGTGCAAGTTTGGGGTTGGAAACCGCCCCTCTGAGGTGGCATTGTGTTTGGGGGGGCTAATTTCGACACCGCTGCAACTGCGGTCCTGCTCGCAGATGTCGGTTCGTGCTGTTAACTGACGTAATGTTGGCTTTGGTTCTCTTTTCGCGCATTGCCCGCTTTTCTGTCAATCTTGAGTCCTGTCCCAACCTGGCACTGCAGTTTTAGCTTCGCACGGAATACTGCAAGTCGTTTGGGCGAGCCTGTGCTGGACCCTGCTCTTGAGGTGACTCTGTCCATTGCGGCGGATCCAACAGGACAACTTCGCGATCATGCACTGTCACCCCTGGGCCAGAAAACTTGCTGAACAGCCCAGAAGCTTCTGGCGGAGTGAGCTACTCTCTTCCCAAGAATTCTGGAAGCTGACAGGCTAGTGTGCTCCCCCCACAAGTTGAGGATTTCTCTGACGTGAGAGCAGGCGCCCGGGCTTATCCACGCCATGGGTCAGCGTCCAGCAGTTGCGCCCGTGCTTGGTGCCGCCGCACCTGCCACCTGCAAAGGCGCCCGGCACACAACAAGCCCAAGACACACGCGAACGATCAATCCGGGCAGATTACTATTCCCAAACTGGAGATCAGGAATCTGCGAATCGGTGAGTGAGCTCGTTGTAGTTTACCCGTATCTTGTCCCAAGAAAGTTCCTGCTACAGTGCACACCAGGTAGTGGGGGACAAACCTTTTGTTTTTCAACCTTGGCACGCGTTCAACCGACCTAATCCCTTGTTCAACCTTTGCGCATTTTATTTTGAACTCGCCACCTTTTTCCAACCTTGGCCCGTCTGGCGTGGCCAGGATCGGTCCGAACATCGTGGGAGGGGGCGGGGGGCGGCCGCCCCAGCGAGCGCCAGAGCGAGAATGGCTCACCAATGGGCGGGGGGTCGCCGCTCCCCCCCGCAGCAGATCCGTTCCCACAACAGAACCAGAACCACCCCGCCAAGAGACGAGCGCTACGCAACCAGAGCCACGTAAGAGCAAGAATCATCAACAACCTCGAGCGTCCTGCTGTGAGGGCAGAACCCGCAAAAGTGCGTGCATGCGTGCTTCAAGTGCTTCTTTCCGTTTGCTTCTTTCTTGGTTTCTTGGTTTCTTGGTTTCTTGGTTTCTTGGTTTCTTGGTTTCTTGGTTTCTTGGTTTCTTGGTTTCTTGGCATCTTGGTTTCTTGGTTTGTGTCTTTCTTTCTGTCTTTCTTTCGCTCTTTTTGCGTTCTGTCTTTCTTTCCGTCTTTCTCTCTTGTTCTCTCTTGTTCTCTCTTGTCCTCTCCTTTCTTCTTTGCTTCTTGTGCGCGCGCGGGTGTCTGTGTGTGTGTGGCGTGCGCGTGTCTCTGTGTCTGTGTATCTCTGTGTCTCCGTGTCTATGTTGCGTTGTTCCAAGAAATAGGGCGCAGGTGGAGAACATTGACTTTGCTGCATGCCAGGAGCCTCATATTTGGCTTTTTGGCTATGATCACGTGTACTATCTCTTCTTATCAGTGGGGCACGAATGTCTCCAATTGGAGACTTGCTGTCGCATCAGTTTTTTGCTGGAACCTGTCTTCTTGAGGTGCTTGGCCAGCAGTAGCACGCGGTATGGGGTCGCTGCTCGTCTTTCACCTTTCGGGCGCCACCGAACGGAAGCGACACGTAAGTTGGTGAAAACTTTGGTCGCGCCAAACTTGATCGTTGCAAGTGGGATGAGTGCCACGGCAGTGTCCTTATGTGCCACCAAAACAGGGCATGCTCCTGGCATGTTCCTGTGTGTACTCTTGGAGCAGCCGCTTTTTTCTCCGTGCCGGGCTCTGTGCAATCTGGACACACTTACTAAGCCTCCCCGTGCTTGCGCTTTCGGCCTTGGGGCCTCTTCACTGGCAGCGAATGCAGATCCACTCGGATCTTGTTCAAGGCTTTTGCACAGAAATTGTGCTCGCAGTCGGCATGCAACAAGAATTCGACACAGGTGCAAAGCATGGTGCCAAAGGGCAAGGCCAACTTCCGCCGATTGCGGGGCCAGGCTGAAATGGGCAAGAGTCCCCGCATGACCACTGCGTGATCCAGAAAGTATCTGTCCAAGACATCTATCTGGAGGTTTCGCTGCCCCTCGCAGTCCTGCATCGCCCCGCTCTTTTGCAAGGTTTTGCTTAAGTCCTTCCGATTCACCTCAGACACGATCAAACCGCAGAGGTTGTTTGCGAACTCGCCTGCGATCACTGCGTCTGCAGGCATGGCTGTGCCCACCTTCCGACTTTGCATGGCCCAGAATTGTGTCATGCCATCAGGCGCAACGCTGCCTTGGTTGTCTGTGCGGCGCCAGACTACGCAGAAGTTCTGGCTGCCATGCTGCTTGTTGTCCCGTGCGTTCCAAACGTCCATGGCAGGAGAACGCCCAAGAATGCTGCAAAAAATGCATGCCCCAGGTCTTGGGAATTAGAGGGTGCTTGTCATGGGTGCCGGGGCACCCCCGGTAGCCCGCAAGGTTAAAAAAGCATGTTCGAGAAAGGAGGGAGAGCGAAGGTCAAAAACGATAGTCCTTGAGTTTTGCAAGGGGGGCAAGGCTAAGCAAAAACGGTTAAAGGTTAAAAAATGCCAAGCCCCACTGGGGAAGAGGTTTTGGAGGTTAACCCTAGAGTTGTTGCTTAGAAGCAGCAATCACAATTCAGGTTGCTGGCAACTGACTTAGAAACTTGGAGCCAATAAAAGCCGTCAAGCTTGCGGGCATGTTCATCTCCCCGAGCGTTGGTTTCTGTACATACGGGTGCGTGCACATTGCTAAGAAGGCAATGAGACACCAAACACATCCGGAGGAAGTCTGTTTAAAACCGGGTCCTGTTTGTGGGTTGTCGTGGGCATGCTTTTTCAGGAGCTTTCATCAACAACATGGCTACCAGCGCAATCACGAAATCGGGGTTTTGGGGAGAGTGGCTGCCATTTGTTGGACCCCATGATTGGCGTCATGTTGGTATCCCTTTCAAATGGGAACTTGAAAGGGGATCATGATGTTTGCAAAACAAAATAATGCCGGTTGGTTTCCCCTTAAAGGTCAAGGGGGGGGGACCCCAACCCGTTATTGTCAACCCTCCTTTTCCGGGTTCCTCCAAAGATCTAATTGGCACAAGGCCAGACAATTTTCTCCCTGCCAAAGGGAAATTAGAGGAAATCAAACCATAAACCTATGTTCTTCCCCTGAATTTTGACCCCTGAGCAACCCTGCCCACCATGGGGGGTCTTCAGCAATGGACCCTGCCCCATGGGTTTTTGCTGGTCTCCCTTCAACCCGCCCAAAAAAAGAAATATTACCTTCCGAACCAAAAAACAACATCCATTTGTCCCCAGCCAACAAATGCGACACCCATGTTGTCAACCCCCATCCGTGTTCAACCACCCGTCTTTCCCGCTCGCAGGCTTCGGGCGCGGCAGATCCGCAGCTTCCGCCGGGCCTGAGCAGTAGCTCTCGATGGCCGAGGACAAGGCGCGATAGTTGCTGCTCCGCATGTAGGTGTACCTGCACATGGGGTTAGGTTGCCCAAAATTGACTCTTTTTTTTTAAAGAGGACATGGGAAAATTAGGGTTGCCCCCTGGTGTTAAAATGAGAATGTTCATGAGTCCCCAATGTCCCTCCCAAATGGACCACAGACTGCTGAACTGTTGACCAAATCTCACGTTTGTAAGTGGGGTATGACCTGGGTTACATTGGGCAATCACTCTATTTGTGCCATGGTGAAAATGATCCATTTACTTGGGGTTTGTTGGTAGGGTCCATGTAATCTAGTTGTTTGACATGCCTTGCGATCCGCCGACCCCCTCTGGTTGTCCCAAAATGGGAACTGGACCTCTGGAAGCGGTTGGCTTTCTTTGAGGTTCCTCCGCAACGACTTCAACGGGTGCATCACCTCAACTCCCAATCGACTTAAAGTCAGGGATCCAACGATGGCACTGGGGGAGAACCTTCCGAATGGCCATGAATCTGCAAGGCGTCTTTCCCAAACTGAACAGCATGAGGATCCAAAAATCAGTCGGAGCGCACGTGGTGCCGCTATCGATCATGGTGCTGCCCCAGCTCGTGATGGTTTGACCATTCACCTGAAAAACAGCGACGCGCGCGCGCGCGTGCCAGGAGATCAAGGATTGCAAGAAGTTATATCACTTGTTGAGATATCTCCGTTGTTGCCCCCCCTTGTTTCGGGCTTCATGTTGATGTGCAGGGGAGTAGCTTACTATCATCAGCGTCACCTTCAAGTGATAGGTGCAAGGGAAACAGCCCCAGTTTCTGACTTTGATAATCCCAAGAAGCGGTCAAAACCGTGACTCTGCATTGGTTTGAACAAGCTGCCTCCCCTTTTAGCTTTGAGCCACAGCAATGGGCTTTTGAGGTCGCCTCCGAGGTTCCGAACGCAAGTGCTGGCAACAGAGTCGCTGGGGATTGAGCGAATTTCAGGGACTGCACCGAAGCACCGCCCCCCCCTTTTTGGGCAGGTTCATAGCTTCGTTTGGACCAAAAGCGGACTGTCCTGCCCAGAAGAGGGCAAAAGCAATGACGTATCCACCACGAGGCGAGGCCTTCTGTAGCAAGCGGCTTATTGATCGTTGGAATGACCCCCAATCAACCATCCACCAGGGATAACCATGGGCTTGATTCGTTCAAAAGGCATTCCGTAAAGGTAAACTGACATGAAATCATCGAATCACCTGTTTAATGAGGGTCAGCGCCAACTTGACTCAAAAACAACATCAACATAAGGCATAGGCACACTGCCTTGTTTGAGCACAGCTGTGGCTCCCCTCAATTGAATCTGGCACAAATGAGTCGCTGGTCGGTATGCCACATCAAAATGACCGTTTATGCAATAAAACAGGCGCCTTGAGCGCGATTTGTCCGGAATGTGTCACTTTGCAGGCCCCCAAGCGAGAATGGGGTATGCAAACCAATCAGCACAATACAGTGGCTGCATGTGAAAGTACCCTAGTTTTCTGCAGAGAAGACCAGGGTGCTTGGGGCTACCTGAGTCGACCAAAACGCAGATTGCAAAAAGACGGCGCCCAAGAACCAAAGAGCGGCAAGCCGCTTCTTTTTCTGCGGAGGAATGTACGATCATTCAGCTTCCACTACCCAATTGGTTTTGGCTCACCTGTCAGGAGCTGCCCAAGCACAAATCCCGCATCTGCCTCTACCTGTCTTGCGCTGAAGTCCGCTTCAAAATCAACAAGAGGTGTCCTGGAGTTCCACAAAAGTTCCCGCACTTCACCCCTTGGACCACATGCATCTTTCCTCCCTTGCACCAAACCCATTCGTCTTGCATCTTAAGGGGAAGGCTTCCTGGGTTTCCACAAGAAAAATCAAAAAAACTCGATATCCTCTTGTAGCAACCCAACAGGTGGCACCAGGAAACCCCTCGGCTCTCGGCGGTCGCCTTCATGGCGCTGAGGCCCACCCCGTAGAAGCCCCCGGGATTCAGCGGGATGCGCTGCAGCCTCCCCGTGTGGTACCTGCCAGGCGGACGACTCAGAGTCTGGCTGGGCCTCAGGGAAGGACCTTGCGGGGTTTGGGAATGAACCGTTTGTTAAAGGAAGCCACAAGATGGAGGGATCATTGCCTCATTCCCTGCTGAGAACCAGCAAGCAGTGGATGGTTGACACTGGATTTCGGCAAACTAGTTTGTAACGTGGAACTCGTTCAAGCAACTGGGGGGAGTGGTGGTTGCTTGATTGCAGACGTGCAGAAAGCAGAAAGGTGAAAGGCAAAGAAAACCAGGGCTTCCTTTCTGAAGCAACCCGTTGGGCGTCTGTCTCCTCTGGCGTTGTCTTTGCAAGAAACTGAAAGGAAGCCGCCCATTTGGGGATTCCCATGGCCAAACACACCCATATTATATATATATATATATATACAAAGTGACTAGATGGTGGTTTAGACGCCAAATGATACCATATGCTCCCTTGGAGGTGCAGTTTGACCCGCACAATGAACAGTTGGCACAAACATAACTGCAAGGCTCACCTAAGAAATGCATTTACGCTGCTCACCTTGGACTCGGCATTTATTCTGTGCCCAGAAGTGGCAGCATGTATCCCATGAGATGCCTGCAACATGCCCAGCCGCAGTCAGCATTCACTTATCAAGTGGCATCGGAATGTGGTGACCAACTCCCCTTTGCTGGTAATATGCAATTGTTACCATTGTTCTGCCTCCAAATGAATAACAAGCCGTTCTGTATATACATATATAAAATCATAGCTTGCCTCTTGATTTGGTGACTGCATCCGACTTCCTTTTCAGTAAATGACGCCTACTTCACTCCTTGAACGCAGCGGTTGCTCTCCGTGCCAATTTACTACTCCGGGTCTCTCTCAGAGGTCATTGGATCATTATACATTTCCACCCACAAGTTGCCCAGTCCTACCAAAACCGTTTAAATTTCAACATGAGTCACCGCAGCGTTGGCGTGTCGGACGCGGCAACGTTCCACTAAAAATAGTCTTCCGGAGCCGGTGTGGAAAAACAGGGTCTCAGGCTCGAATCCCCCTGCTCTCTGCCAGCTCGTGTCTTCCGCTTCCTGTTGCCGAAAACATTGACAAGCACAGTGTTTCCACCGCCTTTCAGCGAAAGCGTTGAAAACTACCGTGTTTTTTCAGTATTCTTGGCCTCCTTCAGGAAATGCAAGGGAAAATACAGGGGACATGAAGGAGGGGAAATGACGGTGGAGTGGGGAAAAGGACAGGGAAATGAAGGGGAATTGGAAGGAAATGAGGGGAAATGATAGGAAATGACGGGACATAAAAAGGACATGAAGGGGAAAGCAAGGGGAGACGCGTGGGATTTGAAGGGCTAGTAAAGCGACAATAGATGGGTACTGCAAGCGAAGTGCAAGGACATAAAGGCAACTCGGGGGGAAATGACGCTGCAATGCAAACGCAATGCAAACCCTGCCTCGGCCCAACGCAGGCGAACTTAAAGGGACACGCAAGGGTGCAATGTCGGCAGACTGAGCCGCAGGCTCTAAAGTTTATAGGCAGCCCTGGTTGATCCTCCCAAGGGAAATATTAAGGACCCAAATATTTACGGTTGTCCTCGAGTGAGAAGTCCGCAGCGGTCTCTGCCTAAACTGGTGTCCAGAAAGGTTGTTTCGGCCAAGCAGAGCCTAAGGGCAACCAAGGCCCCCTTGTCAAGCTCCGGAAGCCAAAGGCAAAAGCTTAAAGGCAGCCTGGTTGAAAGTCCCCCTGTCCAATAACATGGAACCTGACTGAGGTTCCATGTTAGTGGACAGGAGCTCACTCTCTCTGCTCCCAGGTGCGAGGTATCGTAGCCACCCACGTTGAACTGGCCACCCCACCTGGGCCAAATGGCTAGCTCACAATTCAACCCGTCAGGTACATGTCCATAGCAGACCCCGCCAAGCCGTCCATGGGATTGAATTTTGATTAAGTGCTAAACTGTTACTGTTGCTAAACTGTTTGCTCGATTTGGTGCTGAAAGACTCACAGCTGGGCGGTGACTCCCAATGTGGATGTCTGGTTCACAACTCTCCCATCCCTTCCATTTTGTCATGTGATGTTGCGTACTGTCAGGGTACCCCGCAGCAACTGATGTATGGCATGGTGCGTAATGTGATGTCCTAGTATGTTTTGTTCAGTGAAATAAAACATGCGCAGCAGCGGTGTGTGTGTGTGAGAATATATAATTGTATTGATGTGACGCAGTGAGGTGTGATGTCAAGTAATATTGTGCCGTAAGGGATGTTGAGAGCTCCCCGCCAGATTGCCAGCCCCCTCCCCTTCTGCTTGCTTGCTTCAAAAAGCCCCTGATACGTTTGCCCGTCGAAACAGACATCCAATCTGGCCCTTGGCCCAGTGGCTCGGAGGTGTTCCCCCCGGGAATGACGACAGCCTGGGAAAAACAAACAGCGCCGAACAGCCCACAACCAAAAGAAAACTGGCTGCGGAGTGCCCTCTGTTCACCTTGAACACCAAGCGCAAAGGGGAGGCCGCTTTAATTGCAAAGCACCACAGTTGACCAGTTTGGCATAACTACAAGGCGAATCAACTGTCGGGGGGGGGCATGCATCGATCACCTGGCCATTTGGTGCACCCACCTTGACCCCCAGAGACCCGGGCTCTGCAAGGCAGATAGAGAAAACTTTGTGGCTCACGTGCTCCCGGTCCTGCGGCCGAAAACGGAACCCTCCTCGAACATACCTTTGGATCCCACCCCCACGGTGAGGATTGCTTTCATAAAGGCTTGGAGAATCCCTGATGGGAACATTCCCACTGGGTGATTCATGGGGTGGGAACCCCATTTTAAGGGGTCTCCGGATCACTTTTGCGGGACAAAAGACCATATATCCGGCAGGTTGATTAATCTCTCTTCCCTACAAAGCACCATTTCAACACCAATCAAATTTCCCGTTGGCTTCCCTGGAAACAAGCAGAAGGCGGTACCCGAAAACAAGACACAAAACCCGACCCCCCCACCCCTACCCAGACCTTGAATGGCACCTTTTTGGTAGTTGACTCAAGAGAGAGTCCAAACAATGTTAACCCCGGATTAATAAACCCCGTTGATTGATAAGGGGGTGTCCCCTTTTAGTGGGGATTCATCACTTTTGGAGGGAACACCCCCCTAATAATGGGACGGGTTTATTAATCCTGGGTCAACTTTAGAAAGGCGAAAAGGTCACCACCCGAAGCACTCCCCCCCCCCCAAGAACCAAGAACTTCAGTCCTTGAAGATCTTCTCCAGGATCCCCTCCCCGCTCAGCGAGGAAGGGCCGATGCCCATGATGCCGTTGGCCTCCAGTCAAAAAAAAACACGGGGAGTTGGTCCGACAAAAGGAGCAGCAAAAACGCTTTCTAGAGTTGATTGCGTACCCTCCCACTTTTCTGCGGCTTACCTGACGAACGGAAGTCCCTAGTTTGTTCATTTCAAGGAGTCGCACTGACTGGTTTCATCGCAATGTGGATGCGAGGGCCCAACTTGCTCTTACAATGCCATATTGAAATTGAGTACGGGAAGCTCAATGTGCAATGTCAGTGCGATCCTCTTCTTCGACAGTCCAACCCCCACGCTCCTTGCCTCTCTGTACTGGCCCAGTGGTTCCGCATGGAAATCGGACACTCAGTTGTGCGCATGCGCATATTCAAGAGAAACTCATCCACGAAAAAAGAAAAAAAAGGAAACACTAACGGAGGAGTGCGTCTTCAAGGGAAACCCCTCCCCCGAATCCAAGGTCTGGGGTGGGCTAGAATTTGACTGGTTGGAAAGCTAGTAACAAGGGAGTAAATTAGGGTTGACTAGGGGGGTTGTGGGTTGACCTGGTCTCCAAGGGCTAACTAGGTTTACTTGCAGCGGGGTTAAGCGGGCGTGCAATCCACGCAAGGCAAAGCCCATCGCGCAAGTCCGGAGCCAGTCTCGGCACCTCTTCCTCGCGCCTTCTGAGTGAAGAACAGGTTGTTCTCGTTCGAGTGGCAGCCCATCCTGCAAAAACGCCCCCCCTCACCTGCTCCGGTTGTCACGGAACCCAAAACGGGTGAAACTGGCTTGAGTCACACAAACACACGAACAAAAACATGAAGCAAACAAACAAACAAACAAACAAACAAACAAGCAAACAAGCAAGCAAACAAACAAACAAACAGGAAAGCAAGCAAGCAAACAAACAAACAAACAAGGAAAAAGCAAGCAAGCAAGCAAGCAAACAAACAAACAAACAAACAAGCAAACGGGAAAGCAAGCAAACAAGCAAGCAAGCAAACAAGCCAACAAGCGAACAAACAAGAAAGCAAGCAAACAAACCAACAAGCGAACAAACAAGCAAGCAAGCGAGCAAGCAAGCGAGCAAGCGAGCAAGCAAGCAAGCGAGCAAGCAAGCGAGCAAGCAAGCGAGCGAGCGAGCGAACGAGAAAGAAAGAAGGGCAAGCAAGCAAGCGAGCAAGCAAACAAGCAAACAAGCGAACAAGCGAACAAATAAACAAGCCAGCAAGCAAGCGAACAAACAAGCAAGCAAGGGAGCAAGCAAGAAAGGCAAACAAGCAAGCGAGCAAAGCAAACAAGCAAACAAGCGACCAAACAAGCAAGCAAGCAAACAAACAAGCAAGCGAGCGAGCAAACAAGCAAGCAAGCGAGCGAACAAGAAAGCCAGAAAGGCAAGCAAGCGAGCGAGCGAACAAGCAAGAAAGGCAAGCGAGCAAGCAAGAGAAGAAACAAGCAAGAAAGCGAGCGAGCGAGCAAGAAAGGCAAGCAAGCAAACAAGCCAACAAGCGAACCAACAAGCAAGCAAGCGAGCAAGCGAGCGAGCGAGCGAGCAAGACAGGCAAGCAAGCAAACAAGCGAACAAGCGAACAAACAAGCAAGCAAGTGAGCAAGTGAGCGAGCGAGCGAGCAAGCAAGCAAGCCAACAAACAAGCAAGCAAACGAGCAAGCAAGCAAGCGAGGAAGCAAGCGAGCAAGCAAGGTAACAAACAAGCAAGCAAGCGCGCGAGCAAGTGAGCAAGCAAACGAGCAAGCAAGCGAGCGAGCAAGCAAGCAAGCAAGCCAACAAACAAGCAAGCAAACGAGCAAGCAAGCAAGCGAGGAAGCAAGCGAGCAATCAAGGTAACAAACAAGCAAGCAAGCGAGCGAGCAAGTGAGCAATCAAACGAGCAAGCAAGCGAGCAAGCAAGCGAACAAACAAGCAAGCAAGCGAGCAAGTGAGCGAGCGAGCAAGCAAGCAAGCAAGCAAGCCAACAAACAAGCAAGCAAGCAAGCGAACAAGCGAACAAACGAGCAAGCAAGCAAGCAAGCAAGCGAGGAAGCAAGCGAGGAAGCAAGCGAGCAAGCAAGAAAGGCAAACAAGCAAGCGAGCAAAGCAAACAAGCAAACAAGCGACCAAACAAGCAAGCAAGCAAACAAACAAGCAAGCGAGCGAGCGAGCGAGCAAACAAGCAAGCAAGCGAGCGAACGAGAAAGCCAGAAAGGCAAGCAAGCGAGCGAGCGAACAAGCAAGAAAGGCAAGCGAGCAAGCAAGAGAAGAAACAAGCAAGAAAGCGAGCGAGCGAGCAAGAAAGGCAAGCAAGCAAACAAGCCAACAAGCGAACCAACAAGCAAGCAAGCGAGCAAGCGAGCGAGCGAGCGAGCAAGACAGGCAAGCAAGCAAACAAGCGAACAAGCGAACAAACAACCAAGCAAGCGAGCAAGTGAGCGAGCGAGCGAGCAAGCAAGCAAGCAAGCCAACAAACAAGCAAGCAAACGAGCAAGCAAGCAAGCGAGGAAGGAAGCGAGCAAGCAAGGTAACAAACAAGCAAGCAAGCGAGCGAGCAAGTGAGCAAGCAAACGAGCAAGCAAGCGAGCGAGCGAACAAGCAAGAAAGGCAAGCGAGCAAGCAGGAGAAGAAACAAGCAAGAAAGCGAGCGAGCGAGCAAGAAAGGCAAGCAAGCAAACAAGCCAACAAGCGAACAAACAAGCAAGCAAGCGGGCAAGTGAGCGAGTGAGCGAGCAAGCAAGCAAGCAAGCAAGCGAGCAAGCAAGCGAGCGAGCGAGCGAGGAAGCGAGCGAGCGAGGAAGCAAGCAAGGCAAGCAAGCAAGCAAGCAAGAAGGGCAAGCAACAAAGCATGCATGTATCGCACAAAAGCGACCCAGGGAAGCAACGCCTTACCCGTTCGGACTGCCAGTCACTCGGTCATGTGCAAATCTCACATGGAAAGAAAGGGTCGGAAGTGGACATCGGCCTTTGACCCGCGCTTTCATTTTTCTTAAGTCAAAACGCGATGTGAAGAGAGAGTCGTAGTAGTTCTAAATATGATCTTTTTGGTTTAAGATATAAAGTTTAAGTAACGTTGGTTGGGTTGAATAAGAAGTCACTAGGTTTGTTCAAATTTGATCGCTTTGCTCTTCCTTTCCGTTACTTTCCATGTGTTCTCCAATTCCAATTCGTCATTCCATTACTCTCCATTCCTAGCTAGAAGTGCCTCAGGCCAGCCCGGGCCGGAAAAAGTAACCGTTTCGCAATTTCCCGTGTAAAGCATTTTACAGCGGCGAGTGCCCTTTCCAATTCCTTGACATGTCTTCCATGTCCCTTTCGGTATTTGTTCATGTCCTTTCCGTGTCCTTACAACTCCCGTTTCAGGTGTTTGTTTCCGCTGCTATTTTTTGCTATTCCCTTTGTAATTGTGTGACCATTCTCTTTCATGTGTTCCACGCCGCTTTCCATGACTGTGTTCATTTCATGACCATGTCCTGTTCATTCGTTCGATTCCTGTCATTGGCCTTTCATAAACATAGTTCTCCTTTGCTACTAGATGGCTCTTCGTTTCAAAGCGTGATGCTACGATCCTGATGGATCTCGTAAATAGAAAACGTGAACTGTCATAAGCACCGGAAAGAGCGAAATATAGGAAGCACGCTTTGGAAATGGAGTTGTACACTTCGTGAAACGAAGCAAGGCAGAACACGAGAGACACAAATAAGGAATAAGGAACACTGAGCCTTCTCAACAAAGAAAGCTTAGTCGAGGAGAATTCGGAAAGACCAGACTAAGCTGATGTGTTTGTGTTGTATTTGGCAATTGCTCTCTTTCATGAATTTGTATTAATTGAAGTGTTTTTTTTGGGTTTCTTATGCGCCATACTCACGCACGCACACGCGCGCGCGCGCCACATTTGGTGCAATATCTCCCCCCCATCCCCGCATCCTTTTCTGCGCGGGCGCAAAACAAATATCAAATATCCCAAAGGTGGGTGTAGAAATGAAGGCTTGTTCACGATGCCTACAGTAACAAGGGCGGTGTTTCACTTGGGAAACCACGCGACCAAGTCCTTTCGTACTTCAAAGTTTGCCTGTCAGCCAAACCAAAACATCCATTGCGGTTTCTCGCACATGAAAGGTATCCAGCCACAACTCGCGCAGCTAAAGACAAGTCGTCAAGTACAAACCAATTCCCCCAAACATGCGAAGCTACATGAATATCCTTTTGGTGGACCTCCCTTTCTGGCTCCGAGCAAGTCGACACACTCTGGGCGGGGTATCCAAGGCCGGTCCAAGGCCCCTCTTGCAGAAAGATGATTCGTCTCTCCCTTACCAGCACCGCCGTCTCCTTTTGGGTGCACAGATTGGCAGAGGAAGCAACTACTTCTGGGGGGACAAACGCACATGTTTCCAAGCAGGCAGTCTTAAACTCCCTGACACTTTAGCCGGTCCACTTTGCCCACTTAGGCGTGAGGTCCAGAGATGCCCGACACCCCTTGGGGCTCTCAAAAAGCAGTGCTTTTCGCAAACCCCAACGTGGCCGTCCCGTAATTTTCCCAACCCGCTGATCGGCCGTTTTTTGGTTTTCTCGGACAAAAGGCCATGTCCCCCGCCCCCTTTCGCCTGGCTTTGACCTGCGGGTTGTGCTGGATCATGTCCCCCAGGCTGACCTTGTCCTGAGAGTCCCGCGCTCTTCTCCACTCAGGAGGGCATTTGGGCAACGGGGAAACTGTCCTACAGGATAGGGGCCCACTTTTGACGGTGGTCATGAAATGGCCACCAAAAGAAACCCACCAATTTTGCGGGTTCCCATTTACAGAGGTCCACATAGAATGTCCCATTGAACCATCGAAATTGAAAACCATGTTCCGCCAAAGGAAGCTTCACTTTCACTTGGCCTTTCCAAAGATGTCTGGGAAAATCATCGCAGACAAGCTCCAAGGAGCCAAGCATTGTCCAACAAAATGGATGATGAGTCAAACCGCGAGTTGTACTAGCAACGTTATAAGGAAGACCGGCGTCTGAACCAACAAACCAAGCTCTCAACAAAACACGTCCGCGCGTGAACAGAACTAAAGTCTTGGATGAACGCGCTGCTTCCAGCCTCTTAGCCTCCGTCCGCTTGAATCTGCTGCAAGTGTCATCACAGTGGCACTTTGGTGGACCTTGGGCTTTCGACATTGCGGGGCCTAGATAGAAATGCTTATTCCTGCTCCTTTTGTTTTCCCCCCGTGTCATCATTCAACAAACACCGTCAAAGATCTGAAGACACAAGTCGCGGCATGGAAGCGGGCGGCCCACCCACTTTCACCCTGCCCCACGGTCACCCATATGTCATTTGCTCTCAGGAATGCACCAGTCGGGAGAAATTCGCCGGGAAATCATGTGCATATATGCATGCATTAAATACATGAGCCATGAAAAACAACACTTGTTGGCTTGCGATGAATTACACATTATACGCGCGCGCGTGTCTGGACGTCCGAATTCCGCCCGCCTCAAACCAGAACCCTGAGATGGAGGATCCTTCCGTGTAACCTGCCAAGGCCAGGCAAGAACCTATTTATCCCAGGTTCGTCACTGGTGTTGCAAACCAACACTCGAGCACAAGGTCGAATTTCTTGCAGGCTGCGGCGAAGCGCATCCCCGGCATTACTCGCATCATTTGGGCACGTTTGACAATGAGGCACCATACTGCGCCACACAATTCCAAATGATGCTGGTGATGCTAGGGATGCTTACACATTGCCATGGTCCACCCCACAAGAAAGCATCAACTGCTGGAAGGTGATCTTAGGAAATGTCTTCCTTCAAGAAGACCCTTGAATTGCCTAGAAGGGCAAGAGGCAAACCGCCCATTTAGGCGTTCAACGAATCTCGCGGCGGGCCTTGGTAGTAGCTGCACTTGCCAGACCTCAGCACCATCGGGGACCCATGGAATCATACCAGGGGGGCAAGGGTGTCCTTTTTAAGGCAAACCAGATAGCCCTGATAGCCATCTATTTTTCCAGCAAAACAACCAAAAAGGACACCTAACTGTTGGGGCATTAAATGACTCCACATCCCCATTGAGGCTCCTTTTTCAAGGGAGCCCGCGAGCTCAAGTAGGTCTCGACCCGGCGTGCCCATGGGCATGTCTCACCTGTTGACATGGTCTCCTGATTCCAAATCACGGGGCTGAAGCAAAGTGGAAGAAAATCGAACTTAGCCTGAGTTCTACTGTAGATCCTTTCGAGTGTCACCACGCAATTCTGAAACCTTTGGTCATTGTGGGGGGTCTTCCCGGAAGTCGGCTGAACATGCTGTACCAAGGCTTGCGGGACGTCACGAAGATCATCGCATCAGTCCGGCCAGGAAGAGCTTGATCAGGATTTGCTTTGTACAAATCAGGACTGGATCGCGCAATGGTGTGAGGCGCAGAGATACTTCAAACTGAAGCAACATGCACTCTCCAAGGTGGGTAGAGAGATCCACCTGCCAGAGCTTTGCGAAAGATGCTCAAGACGTTCCTGTCCACATCTCATGATTCACGTGATCATTGATGACGCTCAAAATGCTTCGATCATCATGGCTTGAATCCAGCTTGACACCATTAGGCAAGAGCAGCAAGAGACTGCTGGCGGGCTTCAGGCTATAAGCACTTTCCCAAGCATGCTGGCAACGTTCCTCACTGTGCGTGCCATACGTCGCAGTGTACCACCCGGAGAACTCTTCAGCGGTGTAGAACTTTCCATCTCGTGCCAATCGCATCTCGACGCCCACTTTCTCCTTCAAGGCCTCTCGGATTTCTCCTACACTCATGTCTGCAGCTGCGTCAGCCGAAAAGATGTCCTTGCCTGACATATTGCAGCATCGGAGCGAGAAGGTGTCCACAGAGTTTTCTCCAATCATTTGTTGGGGAGGCTGCTGAGTATGCAGTGTGACAGCATAGGTATGCTCACGCAAATGTTTCTCCCGCTGCCACTCAATCCAGCAAGATCGGCAATACTCAGCTGAATTGGATTTTCTGAAGCCCCCAGCAGCTTTCAGGCAGGAGGTACACTCGTACACGAAGGCATTGCACTGCCTGCATTCGGAAAGTACATCAGGGTTCCACCATGTGTGACCACAGCTGCCACAGCGTACATTGTCGGGACTGGGAGGGCGGTCCACGCAACGGCCACATTTATGCGCACAAGTCACAACACCACCAAAGCGGTAATGGCGGGACATTGCAGAATGTAAGACGAACTGAGGTTCATAGAGATTCTGTGCGTCAGGAGCCATCTGCTGCGATTGCCTGGGGCGAGCTCACCAACAGGAAGAGCTTTATCAGGATGTTGTTGCTTGAACGCAATGGCAGCGGAACCGTTTAGGTCCAGGCCATTGTCCCTTCTGAGCAGAACACTAGCGAGCACTGTGTGCTTTTGTCAGGGAGACCCGTGAATGGTCTCATGATGCTATGGCTCCCCTGCTTCAAATCCCGATTTGTCTCGCCCCGATAATTTGACTGACACCCAGGCTCATAGTCCCCAAAAGTAGAGCCAACTCCGTTGTTCAAGTCAACAAGCAGACCCCTGTTCACACGAAGTCGCCTCAATATGCCTCACCAATGCGGGGCGTGATTTGTTGGTCGCATCATTCCTTTTAGGAAGAAGTATTGATTGATGGAGGTTGCAACCCAAAAGTCGGCCTTCCGACTTTTGGGGGGGAGGAACTTTGGCAGTATGGGTCAAAATTAAACAAACAAAAAAAAGAAGATTCTGGTCCATGCGTCCATTTACCAGGGCTCCATTTTGGGGTAACCCGAATCACCGCCTTCTCAGCTCAGCCCCCAGGCGAGCAGCGGCCCACCGGGCAGCGCCCGGAGGAGCACTGCAGCCAGGAGGAGCTGCTGCTCTTCGCCACGTCGAAGCTGCGGAGAAAAAACGGCGACGGGGGGCCGCTGCTTGGCTTTGGAAGATGTTTTGGTTTGGGGGTAACCAGGGCTGGGCCAAGGTGAATATGTTTGGTTTGGTGGCAACCAGAGGGCTGAGCCAAGCTCCTTGATTAAAAAAAATGCTTGAGCCACGGTTTGAACGACCTCTTTTTTTGGTTTCCTTTTGGGCAATCACGGGCAAATCTTGTAATATTTGGCTTCCCGCCGTTTCTGCTCCTCTCTTCGCTTTTGCCAGCGATTGGGGATGGAAGTAATCTTCAGTCCAATGCATTCTTTACGCAGGCGTCTTTTGACAGATTAGAGCCGCTACTCAAGAACGGTTCAAAAGGATTCGGCAACAAACGTTGCCACAGAATCCAACTGTTTACCCCAACGCTGAGTTACTTAAGAGAAGCTCGGTAAGACTTCCACACGGGAACCCCGGAATGCAGCGTGTAAGGTTAGGGGCCCTTCAACAGGAACCTTGGATCTTGAAGGCTACCCAAAGGGGCAGAGGCAGGCAGAGGCAACACGTGGGGCGTGTGGTTTTTGAGGGTATCGGTTTTCCCCCGTTTAAGGGGAAACCAAAAGTCAAGCCACCATTTTGACACATACCTACCTGCATGACCAAATGGAGTCGGCCCGCTTTTTGGGGATCCCTTTGCAGCTCAAAATGCACAAGAGCCCCCGCGGCGACTGGAACCAGGTGATACCAATACTAGCTGAGACAACATACGTCTGACATTGAGACTGGCTCGGAGTTTGCCCCTACTGTGGATGGACAAAATTCCGCACTAGTTGGCAGGTGGTTTATCCCAATATGCATGGGGGGTCATTCACTTCAACTGGTGCAGAAGTTCGTCCATCCACGAGTTGAGCAGAAATTCGAGAAACATGCAGCCACCAATTCGGGGTTTGCATCGGAGCTTTTCCCTGACTTTCATGGCAATGTGGGTGGGAGGGTACCTTTCTTTCCCCATACTGTCAAAGACCATTAAAAGGAAAGTCCACCATAAACCATCAAGAGGAAAATGTCCTTTCCGAAAGATGCCTTCTCTTTCTACGACCCGGCATGGGTCCCAAAGCTTGTAGCCCTCCTCATGAGTTGCTAAAGCCTCCGTAAAGCCCCCACCCCTTGAACCCGAGGTGAGGAGACGAACCTCTCAGCCTTTCACGAGTCTGCTTTCGGGGTTGCCTCCAAATTGACTGAAAGCCGTTTTTCCCGAGCCCTTGTTAAAGCATTGCTTCTTCCCAAGCTCCTTTCGTTCCCGCCCTTGGAATAAAAAAATCAGGGCTTGATTGTTTAAACACATCTTTCATCGCAACGGATTTTGTTCAAAGGGGAAATAGCAACCCGCCCAGCAGCGGACTGAGGTGAAATGATCCTGCGAGGTCTAAATGACACCGACCTACTGTGGATGGACGAAATCCTGCACCTAAGAAACCCTGGCTTCCGATGATTCTCCTGTTACCAACAACAAACAATTGTTTCCCATGGTTTCAAAGTGCAGGTACTACTCAGTCAGTCTGTATTCCCTGCGTGTCCCTTAATTGGTAAAAGGGGGAATCTTCCAAAAGGGTTGCCCCTTTTTCAGCTGTGAGGGATGTCCAGACAGGTGAGTGCATGGCTACTCAGGATTCATGGCTCCCAACCCCGGGTTCCAAAAACGAACGGAACCAACGAACAAACAAACTATTCAACAAATGATGTTTGGTGAATGAACTCAATTTCCAACATGGCCTGTGACACTCAAACCACGTTGGTTTCTGTGGTTTCTTTGTTACGTCTGTGGCTTCTTTGGCTCTGCAACCCTTTGGAGCACCATCTGCCCGCTTGGTGGCCGTACGCAGGGTCAATGTGATGGCCGCCTCAGCGCGCCGAAGTTCCAAGAATCCTGATTCTCACAAACCCCAGCGGATTTTAGTGGCTTCTCAAACGAACAATGGGTGAAACAAATGGGGCATCAACCTTTGGAGACCTGAGCTGAGGGACAACCATTGCCCGAGCTCATTTGAACCCCAGGTCAGCTGGCCAAAATCAGTGAACTTTCATAATTCACCAACCGAAAATCCGGGATTCCTGCATCAATGACGAAGCCTACAGGGGCCAATCCAACAGAGGGAGGCTCATATCGCCTGTGCGTATGTAGCTTCCTGTATTTATCATTTGGGGATCCCACTCGCATGCCCCTGACGGGTCTGTCGCTTTCTGGTGGCACCCCTTGTTTTTTTGTGGGCTTAAACGGACACCAAGGGAAAACCACCTTTTTCTTGGGGGGTGGGGTTGCCCTAGAAAGAGACACAGGTGTCATAAATGAGTTGAGGACGATCTGAAGCGCCACTTCCCGTACACCCAGTAGCGGTCAAGCATTTCTTGACCGCCTATTTCTGGCACCAGAAAACAAAAACAGCACCACGCCCTGATTTGGAAGTGCGAGGACGCTCGAGATATCACGCACCTCTTTGCACGTGCCGCGCAAGTTTCGGAAGTCAATATCACTTGTAATCCGAGAGGATACATACCAAGAAAAACATCCTTTCAAGGCCCGGCTTTTGCCAAACCCCGGCCTGTCTTTGGAGCCCATAAAGCCAAACGGTAAAATTGGGGTCCAAAAGCAGGTATGGGGTTCCCAATCATCCTGCCCCGACCTCCAGCCATAAGAAAGCAAGGTCTCATCCAGCATACGGCTTGGCTGTGGATGTCGACTTTGTGAGGAGGATTTGCAAGAGGACCAAGCAGGGGGAAGAACAGGTGGAATCCGCACAAAGCGCGGCCAAAGTGTTTCCAGACCAAAACGTGGTGCTTCCTATAGATTCAAGGGTTGCCGGTTTGGGGCCCAAAAGGAAACAACAAACCGTCCAAGTGCGCTGCTCGCACATTTTCACGCTTGAACAGCCACACTGCGGATGCAACGGATGTAAAACCCCAAACTGACCGATCAAATTCTTCACCCCCCTCTGCGTGTTAAAGGGGCCTTTCACAAAGCAGCCAAACAGAAACACAACAGAGGGAGAAGGTCATGGGGAACCGTTGTATACATGCAAACCATGACAGTTGCGCTTTTAGCGCCACTGCCAAGTAGATTGGTAACCGCTGCTGTCATTCCATCCTCCCCAACCGGACCAGTTCTGCCAGCTGCCTTGGCTCCAATGCTCACCCTCGCGGGCGGCGGGAGCACTTTGATCGGCATAGCGAGCGGCATTGCGAGCGAGGTGCTTGGTGCTCTCGTTCTTTGAAAACTCAACTGAGTTTCGGGCATATCGCTCGTTCTGGCTGAATATCCAGTCCATTTCGTGGCGGAGGTCCTCGAGGGAATTGCTTCGCAAATGGATGATGCCATTCCAACATCCAATGCTGCGAGGCTTGTCCTGCTCGGAGACAACATTCACAAAAGCCCGTGGACTGTATGGCATTCCCTGAAACATGATGATCCAACGGGAACTGAGTGCATCCTGCAATTCGCTGGGCAAAAACTCCACCTCCGTCTTTATGTACGCGAGCCTTGCGATTCGCGACTCAGAAGTTGATCCAAGGCCAACTCCAAGAGTGCGCTGGGCTTGCGACTGCTTTGGAGCAGCCAAGACGAGGTTTGCACACAACTCCATGCGGAGTATATCCGCATCCCGACGGCCCACTTCAAGCATACGAACCCTGTATTGAAGGTCGAGTTCATAGCGATCAAGTAGAGAGTGGTAGCCGTTCTTCAGGGCGGACTTGTGCTTCTTCCGGGCCTCCTGAATGACAGCACTGTCCGGGGAGTTCAGGCCACGAAGGATGCTACTCCGATCCTCCTCGCGGAGGTCAAAAGTTCCCACGGATGCCAAAACCTGGGCTGTGACATGGGTGCTGAGGCCCATCTTCTTCAGCAAATTGGAACGCTGCACAAGGTAATTCTTTTGCTGCTCTTTCAACAGGCGAGGATTGAGGGGTGACAACTGCCCACATGATGTGCAGTGGACCTGCCCCTCGAACACACTGTTGTTGCAAACCGGGCACGTGGCGACATTCAGCTCAACGTTCTCCATTGGATTGAAAGTCTTCTGTCTCTTCGCTTCCCCTTGCGGGGCGCGAGGAGACGCCACATTGGTGCGGGTTGTAGCAATGCGCTCCAGTGCTGTGGACCGATCATCAACCACGGCTTGGTCGCGCTTCATCCCCTGGGGTTCATCCTCAGTCGCCTCAGCTGGTGCACCTGCATCCGATTGCTCGGAGCGAGTGTACCATACATCGCCATTTGTAGCGTCCAATACAGAAATAATCGTGTAGTTGGGCACCTTGTCGCGCGTGAGGACGCCATCGCTCTCTGTCTTGAAAAAGCAAAGCCCTGCGCGAATGGCCATCCTGAGGTCGATCTGTATTTCCAAGGGCTTGTTAGCGCGTACACCTGAGATGTAATTTTCGTTCGTGCTCGGAATGTCAGCGAAGAAAACGTGAGGTCTGCCTGTCTCGTGCTGGTCACCTCCTCCTGGAAGCAGTCCGTTTCGCATAATGTTGGCGAAGTTCCGCTTATCGGTGCGATGATAGAGCACCGTAGGAGGGTTGCTGCAGACGTTCCAGCCAGACCAGCGCCCGAGGTCCGTCCCCGGGTTCACGTACCACTCCTTCGCGATGCCGGAGTCGTCAATTTGGAGCCAGTCCTCATGGCCTTGGGAGGCCTTGATCTTGAAAATCCAATGAGAACAGGGGACGTCTCCGCACCGGCTTGCGTCCGGGCAACCAAGCGCAATGAACCTCTGCTTTTTGTCGAGCTTGAAGATGTCCATGATGCTCTGAATATTCCATGGAATGGGATGTCGCAGCTCCTTGCGAAGCGCGAGTCCCAAATCTTCAAGGTCCATGTAGCCGTCCTCATCCATCACGTACCCACATCCTTCTGTCCCTCGACCACGGAGGATCTTCGAGATGCACGTCAGGGAGCTGTGGTACTCATTGCTGATTCTCCTGACGGAAGGGTCGTAATCAAAAGAAGGCTGCTTGATGATCTCAAGTCGCTTGGGGCCCTCACCATAGTCAACATACTTCACGCCGTCATGGATGCTATAAACCCAGCAATCGTAGTGGCCCCCAGTCACGTTCCTCCCGTAGGAGTCGAGTGGTACCGGCCTGCTCGTCGCCTCGTCCCTCTGTGCCACCGCAGCCGCCTTTGCACCGGCTTGCGCCGGGCGAACACTTTCGGAAACATCAGCACCGGAAGGCTCACCTGAAGTTGCAAATTCGGCTGGATCGACAGGGGCGAAATCGAGGGGCTGCCGGAACTCCACTTCTTCACGGGTGAAAGGGAGCCCGATCATCTCTGACAATGAAACGCCGCACTTCGTTAGCGTTTCCTTGCAGTACGCGAGAACCTCAACGTTGACTGTGCAATCCTCTTGGTGGCGCACCTCGAGCACATCGATCGGACGCATTGTGCAATCATGCGAACGTGTCAGCTCGGCTACGCTGCCCATTGCGGGGCGCAAGATGGAAAGCATGTACAACATATGATGGGTTCCGCGCATAAACTGGACGGTCTTCGTGATATTGTCGTCACTGAAGCACATATGATACCTGTCCAGCAAATCGATGGTCTCGACGAAGGGTGTAGCATCAACATACACAAACATATTGTTGGGGTCGCCGATGATGTAATCCCGGACTTCCGTCATGAAACGGTCCCAAATCATAGAGAAGCCGTAGAGGTAGCTCTTCGCGCCGGTCATGACTCCAAGGCATGCGCAGCCCTTGCGGGCCGCGAAATCCCTGGTCCAAGCCAGGTGCCGTCTGGTGTCAGCGAGAAGTTGCTCGGCGTCTCCGATGGGGGTGTCGTAAGGATATGTACCAGTGGGCTCGAGGCCGTCCTTCCCAACGAGCTCGTTGCCATTCCAGTAAATCATCGGAATGATGGTGGCTGCTGGGTAGTCGGTACGCACCTCGTCGATGAGGGCGGCCAACCGCTTGCACAGCTGTTGTAAGCCCTTGCCCCAAAGCATTTCAGACCTCCATGCACCGACACGCGCCGGGCGAGAGGCATCCAAACGCTCCGCAAAGTCGTACTTGCGAAGCTTGCGCTTCTTGCCCGAAACCATGGACAGTCCTGAATCAGCGACAGTCACATAGATAAGGAGGTCGCGGTCTGGTACACGTGGGGCCTGCAAAACTTTCAAGTACGGTTCGCTTATGGTTAACAGGGGTGTAAGCAATTGCAGGTAGTGCGGTTGGTCCTGCACCCATGTATGAATAAGCGACTGTGCAGAGGTCGTCTCGAGGAGGCCCTTGACCGTGGCGGCGAGGTTAGCGTCGTATTTGCCGTTCGTGCATACCGAAGTGGTAGCGACATTCTCCATCCATCTCCTCCATGCCGGATCGCAATCCCTCGCGGGATGCGCCATAGCCGTCGCGCTGCTCATTGCGAAGAAGATGCAGCACAATCACTCGAAAGCAACGGCTGCATGGTGGCATGTTCAGAAAATGCATTGTGAACGGCATCGGTGTAAACATACGTGTATCCCTCGGCTTCCTTCAAATGCGTACCACGGCTTTCATCATGCTCGTGAGAACCATCACACTTGAAGTACTCAACCACGGAAATAGTGGGCATATTACTGGCAACGACCCACTGCTTTTTCATAGGTTTTCCATTTCTCCCTTTAATGCCGATTTTGCAACCATGGAATTCGTACTTGTTCATCTTGTACTTAGTCAAGAAACTCCATAGTTCGGGCCATTTCCAATAACGACACGCCTTGGGAAGTTCGAAGGCAACTCTAACGTCATCAGAATAGACATCATTGAGAATGCGTTTGAACCCTCTCAGCAGTGATCGGAATTGCTTGATGTGACCCTCAATCTTGGCAGCACCTTTGGGAGTTTGCTGGTTGACATAACCCCA